CATCAAATGCCTGCAGTGCTTTGGCGATTGGCAGAGGAAGATCTCACGACTCGTGTGTGTCATAAGCTCAACAGTGGGCTCCGAGCTGGTCCCATCTGCCTTCCCCAAGAGATCCTGACGTCATACATGGTATTGTTAGCCAAACCAGGCAAACCACCAAGTAAGCCTGCTAACCTCAGACCCATAAACCTCCTCCCCGCAGAGGCTAAAATTTTGGCGAGAATTGCAGCGGAACGCCTGAGACCATTCCTTACCTCAGCGCTCCAGCACATTCCTCAATTTGCTTACGCCTGCGGAAGGCAAACGGGAGACGCTTTAGAACGCGTCCTGGCACACTGCTACAGAGTCCGCACTGCGCTTCAAGCTCACAATCATGACATATTCAGCAAAAGAGCAGGACAGAAGCAACCAGGATTCTGTGGTGGCATGCAACTGTCCTTAGACCTAAAGCAAGCCTTCGACCGCATACCCCGAAGACAGTTACTCCAATCATTACAGGACCTATGGATTCCACAAGATCTCGTATCGCTTATCCTCCACATACACGATAATGCAGCCGCAATCCTGGAAGGTCCCAGTGGTAGCCAAAAAGTGGATATGCATCGTGGAATACGTCAGGGATGTGGTCTTGCTCCACTGCTATGGCTGGCCTACACCATAGCTATCCACAAGCGACTCGCTCAGTACATGCCAGAACAGGCCCTAACGGAGTATGCGGACGACTTTCACGTACAGTGGGAGTTTCGACACCCCCGGGACTTTAGACTTGCTTGCCAACAACTTCCCCGCATTCTTAGGGATCTAGCTGATATGGGCATGCTAGTTTCGACCGAGAAAACAGTTGTTCTGCTAGCAATAAAGGGCAAAGAGGCGGCTAAACTCCTGTCCGACTTTGTCATCCGCAAGGGCGGCGAACGCATGCTCCACTTGCAAGACCCGTTTGGTAAACTCTACCTACCCCTCCGCATACACCATACATACCTGGGCATGAAGATAGGTTACACTACCTTTGAGAGGGCCAGTATGCAACTCAGGATCAGCCAAGCGTGGACAGCGTTTCACAGACTTCACCCATTCCTGAAAAACACCACCATACCCCTAAAGAAGCGAGTCCAACTTTGGCAGAGTGGGGTGTGGTCGGTTATCAGTTATGGTCTCACGGCCACAGGGGTGGATCAGATCAGCTCCCAGCTCCTTAACCAGACGGTAGCCAAACAGCTCCGCATGGTAGCTCGCAGTCCAGCCCACGTTGAGCACGAAACCACGATCGCTCTGCTCGCCCGCCTTGGTCTTGACCCACCATTACAGGTTCTAGCTCGCCTAGGTCAGCAACGCAATTCTGAGGGTAGACCTCAAGTAGCACATTTGCAGCCAGCTCATGTCCAACAATGGTGGTCCTTGACCCAAGCCTCATTTCAGCAGCCAGAGTTTCAACTTGCATCACAAGGTGAGGTGATGCAAACCAAGCTGACAGAGGTCACCCAAATTCAAAGGCTTCAATGCTCCTGCCCGATATGTGCTCAGACCTTTCCCAGCACCCACGCCCTAAGTGTTCACATGGGTAAGTCTCACCCCAATAGCAGAACAGCCAAACTCACCAACACTACTGCCAAGAATGTACGTCGGGATGAGTTTCGCAAGCATGCCGCTGGGGGTCTCCCGGAATGTAAACATTGTGGCAAACGATTTTATGGATGGCCACAATTTATGGGACACTTTAGTCAACATGCCTGCCCTGTTTTATTCCGGGATCACCTAGCTCAGTTTGGCACGGTACCCACGCAGCACGAGCATGGGTCTCCCACAGAGCCTGCTCAAGGGGCGCTCGCGCCGGGGCTCAGTGCAGGGACGCAGACCGATCATGCAACAGTTGAGGAACCGGTACCTGCTTTTGATAACCAGACTCTTCAGAAGCTTGCAACTGCAGGAGACCTGCATGGACTGGCTGAAGCCTTGCGAAAAACAGATCGGCATCACCACTGCCCAGTGTGCAATCAATGGGTAGCGAAACCCTCGTATCTTGCGAGACATGCTTGCAAAATGCATGCCACCATCAGGGAAGCACAGCCAACGGTCCTGAAATGGATCAAGACCAGAGGTAGGCTGTCCAGCCCCTGCGAGTGGTGCCATAGCCGTTACGACCGGGCCTCTGCACATCTCCAGGCCTGCCACATTCTCTGGATCTGTGCTCACATGCTGCATAAACACCACACACTAACAGATGTGCACCAGCCCACGCTCCAGGATGTCCTTCGACGAAAACCAGCTGATGGAAGCCAGGGCGGAGCTGAACAACTTCTCCGGGTACATGAAGGAACGGGAGGACGAGCACACCTTGTCGACCGGGCCGCCGCCTTCCCTCAGTGGCGAACCGGAGATGGAAGTGGACCGATCCAAGCGGCAGCAGGAACCAGAGGGCAACCAAGCCAACAAGTTCGCCAAGGGTCAGGAGAAAGGTCTGAACCAGGGCCCAACGGACGACCAGCCGGACCAAGCAACATCGACAACTCTGGCGCCAACGGGCAAAGGCAGACGATCTCCCCCGGCTCAGCGGCAAAACCAGTCAGGACAACGAGGACAAGGCGGGCACGACAGCTGGAAGAACGACAGCTGGAAGAGGGGTCAAAACCCCTCGGGCGGTCATTGGTGGAGATCGGATCAGAGGGCGAGCAGCTCCAAGGACAAGAAGGAGGAGGAGCTCAAGGAAATGGTTCGTCTGATGGGACGGATGCTACTTCGAATCGAGGACTCCATGACCATCCAGGGCCTGGACACCAACTTCATGGTATTTCTCAGGACGGAGGAAGGCGACAGCGGATGGTCGGTCACCACGGGGCTCTATGCGGTGGCACAGCGCTGGCACAAGCAAAAGGAAGAAAACCCAAAGCAGCTGGATCTTCCGATGCGAAACGTCTTGCTACACTGCTTTCTCGACGCCCTCCTCGACAAGATCAAGAAGATCACCCACGACAAGGCCCTTCTCGAAAAGGCTCAGAAGCTCGGGCTGGTGGTGGACGAGGCCTTCCCCTTTCTTCAATGGGACCACGACAAGAAGTGCCATGTCCGGGCGGCCCAGGATCCCCTCTCCTACGAGGAAGCCCTTCGGACGGTGACTGCCCTGACACAACTCACGGCAATGCCGGACGTGATCGGAAGGTTCCATGCTCTGAGACGGCTATCCGAGCAACACCAGTCGGAGGTGGTGCCGTTTATTCTGCAAGTGCAGAACAGAAATGCGGAGGCACAGCAGTTCTATCAGGGAATGCGCCGCCTATGCCGATGCTCGGTCATGCACTTGGTGGGTGCGACCCTACGCCCCACCAAGCTCGGCCGCTCACCGTTGGCACTGCAGATCGAGCGGTTCCTGAAGGATCTCTAAAGGACCGGTCCAATGCTATCCTAACTTTGGGACTAGTTAATCACTCCAACCACTGCTACTGCAATGCCATTGTGTATGCCCTACTGTGGGCAGATGCAATGCTACCGGCAGGACAGCCACTGCTTGGACCGAATATGCAGAGGCTGGCAAGCTGGTTGGTTCGTAAGCCCCAATTAGTCGAGCTTTGGAGTGTGCCACTTTGGCGTAAAACCCTTCAGGGCTGGCAGCTGCCGCATTCGCAGCATGATGCTGCAGAGCTGCTGATGTTTCTGGAACATGTGCTGCACCCGGACTACTCGACCGGACACTGGCAAACCCGTAATCCCACCTCAGAATATGAAGCCCAGGTGACCGATCATGGAACAATGTGGCCCATGCTTCTTCCAGCGCTCCTGCATCCAGGAGACACCGCCACGCATAGGATCGTCAGTGTGCAATCACTCCTTGTCGACTGGCGAAACTATCAGGCCCAGCGACAAGCGGCCCTGACTCTGCCAGCGATTTTGCCCGTACAGATCGGCAGGTTTGATGACTTAGGACATAAGCTTTTGGGGAATGTAGTTCTCACGCCGATAATTCATGTGCCACTTTACACCACAGAAGGCATACGTACCACGTCAAGGCAATATCAAATCATAGCCTGTGTGTTTCATCTGGGGCACTCCAGATCCTCGGGGCACTACCGAACGGTGCTCTACTCGGCGGGTCGGCCGATTGCCATCACTGAGGATAACCAAGCACCTCAGACCTGGAACCCTCGGGACATAGCTCTTGTACAGCAAAACTCCTACTTACTCCTATATCGAGAATTGTAGGATGGCATCGGCGAGCTTCTCGGGAATATCCTGTTATGAAACTGCCACCGTGTTTTTGCTTCGTCAGCCGCTCCGGTGACTTGTCGCTCAAGGGGCGTTCGCGCCGGGCAAATCTCATCCTATTTGGTAGTACTGTTATGGTATCTTTCCTTGGGTATCGTGATCTCTTACCCTTTCATACTTCTTTCACTCTACATGTGATGACCGGAGTTGAGCTCTTTTAAGCATTAGTGTTGCTGTGAGGGGTGCTGGAGAAATTCCAGTATGCATCTGCGAGATGCCGATCTCAGATTGCCCTGGACTCTCGCATCGCGAAGACCTCTTTGCGGCGGTTGAAGAAGATACGTATCTGTATCCAGTAATATATCCATCTGCCTGTCTTTCTCTCCGTCTATCCATCTGCTCATCCAGATAGAAACGGATGTAGATACAGATACCCACAAAAGCCGAAGTTTGCAGTGTCAACGGATGTAAGAGAAAATACTCCAGAAAAAGTGCGGTTATATTCATGCAATTTCATGCACGTCTTCCCGCAGTAGTAGGTACTGTATGCATGCCGGTTCCAGAGGCGCGGGTCCTCACGGGTCAGTTCCGCGGCTCCGATTGTGTTCCGATCCTGTCGCCCGAATTCAGAGTTGCTGGAGCCGCGCAGAGTTGCGTGCTGCAGGTAGGTTGGTTGTGTCTCGTCTCACCACGCTGATCCGACTTTTTCTTTTGAGCAGCGGTGTGTGATTGTGTGTGCCCGTTCATGAAATGCTGCCTTGTGACTCCTGGTATCTCCTGGTGTCTTTCAGTGATGAGTCGAGGCAGTCGCCGCTGTGGCATCTTGGGCAGCCTGGGCAGCTCGTCCATGGGCGTCTGTTTGCTGTCACCTGGCTCTCATGAGTGCAGCGAGGCACCAGCGCGTGTTGGCACCCCAACCACGGGCTGCTGGAGGTGCGTCGCGAGCGCCGGGCTCCTGCAAGCAGCGAAAAGAGCCTGGCAAGGTGCTGTTTACAACCATCGAGGCACGGTGCCCAGAGGTTCAAGCGACCATCCAAACAGATCCAAACAGAGCGATCTGATCTGAGGCTGCAATGGCTGCAATGGGCAAGTCCGCTGGGGTGAAGGACCCCTGCACTCGGCCTGACAAGTGCGGAGCGACGGCAGGCATCGAATCGTTCGCTTTCCAAGCAGGAGCAGAAGCAGCCTTTGCTCGTGCCGTGCCTGCATGGCGCCCAGTTGGTGCTCACGACTGGCGACTGATACTTTTTCTCCAGCCTTGGAGCTAGGTTGGTCCAGTGCAGCGTGGGACTGGTTCCAGCCCTACATAGGGCTGCATGTCGTAGTTTTCGATAGCTTTGTCGAATCGCCTAAGCTTTGAGCAGTGAAGTCGAGCTGTAGTCACCAGTCTGATTCAGATGAGACGAATAGTTTCTCTGGCTCGGGCTGAAAACGGAATGCGATCTCGGCAGAGAGGAGAAAACGTGACATGCATCTTTGGTCGATGACGCATGATTTGTTCAGCAGTATATGATTAATGAGCGATGTGTGAACTTCTCGGCTGAATCGGAGCACTCATTAATTAGTTTCAACAGTTGAGCTGCGTGAATAAACACCTACTCACACACGCATGCTTGCAGCATACAGGCATTCAAGCAGACCGTGCAATGCCTTTAGAAACATGTGTTGCGCATCGGTCCGTGTCCGTCCATGATTCGGCATCTGGGCGCTGCAGGACGGTATGTCTCACAGGAAAGCCAGACTTCGGTGCAAGAAGTTTGCAGGCTGCCGACTTTGCAGCGCCTTGTGACCTTCCTGGTCATGCAAGCCTGTGTTTGCACTACAAGGCAGCAGCACCGTTGAGCTAGCCGCAAGCATGTCCACCAGGATTTGTTTGATGCACTGCTGGATAACAATTGGAAATTCGTGCTTTGTGAGCTGTGACAGGCACCATGCCAAGCCCGTGCTTGCCTGAGCGAGTCCTCGAGAACGGGGCCATGAGCTTTGCAGCCGTCTGGCCTGTGGGACGCCCCCCAAGGAGGTGTCTTGATTCGGAGGCGCCGCAGGCAGGAACTTGAACTTGCCTTCATGCAGAGCGCAAATTATTCGCAGCACGCAGTTGCTCTCAAGGACCCGGAATGGGCAGCTCCAGTTGCCAGAGATCTTCCTAAGGTGGCATGCCTAGTGATGCCTCTGTGGGCTTGCAGTGGTCTCCGTCTGAGCTTCCCCGTGGTGCCCTCCTTCGCAAGGCAGACCAGGCCTCACATAGTCTGGATCAACACATGAAAGCTTGCAGCTTGCAGTCCACAGTAGTAGGGCTTAGGGTGCTTTGTAGAGGTGCTGTAATGTGTAGCAATAGGAAGTCTGACATCCCTGGAGTCGCAATGAGCCATGCGCTGCGCGAATCCTCCCGTGCGTGCGACCGCGCGAACGTGGGCCCTTGGGTCGACCGCACGAACACCTTCGTTCCCACCCATTCCGCTTCCTTCCATGTGTGACAAGACTGGGAGCCGGAGCTGGAAACGTTGTTTTCCCTTGGTGGCCCTGGGAGGAGAGGGAGACCAGGGAGACCGTGAGTCCGGCCTTCGGCCGTCTGCGGATTTTCAGATGCATGTTTGTGTGGGCGTGCATATGTGTGCATTGTGTGTGTGTGTGTGTGTCCACGGATTCTCTGCAACGGTAACAGGAGTGCAGACGAAACGGGGCCGAAGGCAGCAGAGCTCAGAGATCAGGCATCCTGCAGATCTGGAGGATGAGGAGGCCTTGAGGCATCTCTGCCTTACAGGGTGTTGCAATGTACTGATGTACTGTGCAGGCCAGGCTCTGCAGGCATGGAGAGGCCATGCAGCCGAGGCAGCTGTTCCAGTCTGCAGCGGCTGGAAGCAAAGGCCTCCGCAAAAAGGAGTTCGCCGTCCTCTGCCAGTCTCTCCTGCACATCGACCTCGAGTATCGAGAGTTGGAGCGAATCTTTGAGCTGGTGGTGACCTCTGCCCCTTGGCTGCAAGGCACCTTTCGGAGACTTCCTGGATCTTACAGCACTCCAGTGTGTTGAGGAAGGGCGCCCAGTCATGACGGAGGATCACTTCGTGAAGACAGTTCAGCGACGTTTCTTCTTGCGGGGCATCCGACGGGTGGTGCAGCTTCCGGACGCGCAGCACCCGTCACTACCCAAGAACTTCAACCTGGACATGGACACGGCAGCAAACCATCGATCCGACCCATGTCCTTGAATCTCAACAACGCTGTTGAAGGTCCGCAGGTCATCGCAGTGTGGCATTTTGTGCTGGGTCTCGTTCAGCATCTCGTAAGGACACAGATCCATTCGTTGGTCCTTATGCGAAGATACGAGACACTTGGACCTTCCATGAGCAGTGTGGCTTGATTTTGGGTGAATTTGGCCGATTTCTTGGCCTGAGGCGACGCGCGATCACGTGTACCATGGGCGCTACACGGTTGATCGCCAGACTTGGCAAGACAGTGTCATAGACACAGTTGTTCAAAGGACAGTGGAACAGGCACGCCCCAGGATGGTTTTCACCTGTGGTGCAATGGGTGTCGGTAAAGGCTACGCATTGGCCTGGATGTCCCAGAAAGGTATATTCCCTTTGGAAGACATCGTGCACATTGATCCGGATCACTTCAAGCAGGTGATGCCTGAGTGGCCGGCATTTCTTGAGTATGGGCGCGAGAGAGGGGATCCTGACATACCCGGCAACCGCTGTCACCGCGAGAGCTGCTACATGCAAGAGCTTGCATTGGAAGAGTCGATGCGGCGATCGCAGCACATTTGGGTTGACGGATCTTTGCGCAACTCGACGCTCAATGTGACGCATTCATTGCTGTCATGTTTGACTGTGATTTTGCCATAGAGTGTTGTCGACTTGTTCCAAGCTGCAAGGCAATGCAGAGTGGTTTGTGAAAGTCTTCAGCGACATTCGCTTGCGCTACCCAGCATATCAGATTGCGATTTTCAAAGTCACGGCGCCGGCAGAAGCCTCAGTTTGCGGAGTTCGAACTCAAAGCTCAAAATTCAAGGAAGGGAGAGCCAGCCTTTTCCCGGTTCTCTGTCCCAGGAAGCGGTTATCCGGAAGAGGGTCTCTGAACGTGCCAAGCAAACCGGCCGAAGCATTCCTGAGAGTATGCTGGTGGCAAGCATTGGAGCTGTTGAAAGGCTGGACCTCTGTGTATGCCAGAACTGATAGGCAGCTGAGCAGCTCCGCCCTTGCCAGGTCTGTGCTGATGTTGACTCCGCATGCAGACTTCTTGGCCAGCATTGACAACTCGGAATCCACGCCGAAGCTGCAGTACTTCGCAGCAGTTGACCGCTCAGGCGACTGGCAACGCATTGCGACGAGATTCGCGCATATTCTGCCCGCAACAGATGCGTTTCCAAAGAAGCTCTCACCATTTTTCGTTTCGCAACTGGAAGTCTGCCCAAAGTTGGAGCTCCAGGAACCCCTGAAATGCCGCACCGACGGTGTGAACAGTTGCCAACACGGCACTCTGATCATGCGTGGCCTACACTTCGAAGTGAAGCTGTCCCCGTCAATCCGTGTGACTCTGGATCCCGAGACGCGCCGTGTTGCGAACATCCACAAGGACGCTGTCGCGGTGGCGTATCTCCATCCACTATCACAGGTTTCCGAGGCAGGAATGGCAGAGCTGAGCTACTCCGAACGCCAGGTGCTCAATTTGGGCGCCTTTGCCAACTTCAACCTGGAAGATCAGTTGGTGGCTGTAAATTCCGTGGCCTCTACTACACAGCAGCGTCAGCCTGCACTGCTGGAGCCCCAAATGCATGTGTTGCATGGCCCCAGTTCTTCGAGTGTTTTTTTGGGAAATTGTCTAGAGTCCAGATCTGATCTGTGCGCCCTTTTTTTCGGTGCAACAGGAGTTTGGCTCCGCCTATCCCGTGTCCGAAGAAGAGGCAAAGTCTCTGCCCCAAAACAGATGGGCACCACTCACGCTTCAGCACATGAGGGAGGCTGGCGGTCAAAGGTTTGCATTCATCACGCCCCTGGAGAAGTTGGCCAGCCGCCGGGTGAGTGCCAATAGTGGATTCTTGTTCGAAATCCTGTCGCAAGGAGAGACTTCGTATCTTTTCTTTCCGGTAATATCATCATTTAGCTAGAGTGCTGGATGCTGACTTCGAAGAACGACATCAGCATGGCATGTAGCAAGTGTCGTTTCACACAGACGGGGTGCTCGGCGTCGGACAGGAAGCAAGTCCCAGCCTGTATTGGAACTGCAGAAGCCTCCAGATGCGCGAAGCCTTTGTCGTCCCTGCAACCGGATTGATTGGCCGAAGGCCACAACACCTTCCTCAGCAGCGACACTCGACGATGCGAGCGGAGGTTCTTTGCGCTTCAGTATGTGCTGAGAGTAGACGTTGCTATTCCTCCGGACGTGTTGGGTAGAACACGGTAAGGTCTGCCTAATGCCACTGGCCATGTCTGTTGCAGTGCCTTTCCATGGCGCGTTGCAAAGGCATGACGTCTCGCTCGCCATCGTACAAGGTGGACCACATCGGGCGGACGGTTAAGTCTACGAAGCTCCGCCACGCCTGGACGTTGTACCTCTGTGAGGCGGAGGTCAAGGTGGAATTGGAGCACAGCCGGCTGACTGGTAAAAAGAAGGTTCTGGTTGACGGGAAGCTGCTCTTCTCCACCACAGACAAAAACCTGCACTGGTGTTGGGAACATCCAGATTCCAAAGCTCGAATCACATTGAACTCGGAGAACGGCAAGCACGTCCTAAGATGTGAGGAGCCCGAGATTGCAAAATGCGCCATAGAGGGGGAACCAGACAGATACCCAGCTGTGGAGCTTTCCAGCTTGGCGCCCGAGACTTGCGTCACAGAGCCTGTGCTGGAAGAGGCTTCAATGCAAGGAGAGGAAACCGCAGACAACGAACTATTCTCCTCTGGGTATTCGGACAGTCCTGTCAGACAAAATCTTGCAAGCAAGTACGCCAATTGCGAGAACGACCTGCAGGACCCAGACGATATCGCCAGTATTGTGCAAGCAGATAGGGAGCCGAATTGAAGATTCAGGGCTTGGGATTGTGGCGTGACGTGGTTATGTTGACGGAACAGGCTAGATTGGATGGCACTCGGTGAAAACGATGACAGGCTACAGTAAATTCGGGTCCTGTTAGAGTTCCTTTCGCACAAAACGACGGCCCGTGCCATCATGTGGAAGCCGAATCTGAGTTTGAACCAGAAACGCAGTACCAGTGCACAGAAGTTCTCGGTCACGAAGAGACTGTACTCAGGACTACGATGCCGAGATCGCAGAGGAGGCCAAACCCTCGGTTCCGTTCAGGTCTCAGCCACTCAGCCTGTCCAGCTCCGAACTTTGATTTATTCGCTGCGTTTCCAGAGACATGCAGGTCGTACCTTGTGACGCGGCCTCAGCGAAAAGGTGCTCTTCAGGCTCGATGCTGGCGGTGTTTTGTTGCTTTTGCTTGCCTTGGGACATCCACCTTTGGCCTCTGGCTTGGTTGGAGCAGCTCCAGGAGATATCCGCGGAGACTGCGCGACTAAACGCCTTGCTCGGTGTCAAGGATGCGCAGATCGCAAACGACCCAGACCGTGGGTGACACTTCCGGGGCGTTGCGGGCGACGTTCGTTCTTTCTCCGAGGCTGCTTTGCAAGATGAGCTGCGGAGGTGTGCCGTGGGGAGAGAGGCTCGCCTGTTCAGCGGCGAGAAGCGGCGAGCGAAGCACTGACTGCAGTGATCAGGCCAGCGGGCCTATTGAGGCGGTGTCCAGCACCCAGAGCCAGTGAAGCGGTACAGAATGAAGCCGTGGTGCGGTGGTGTACAGTATGTCAGCTCTGTGAAAGTTTCCATTCGTGCTCTTCGCAGACGAAAGTGACGAAAGGCCAACGCTCGAGATGGAGGTTACAGTGCCCGTGCCCGTAAGCCCCATTCAGAGGCTGGAGGCCTGCGAGAGAGCTTCCTTATTGGGCAAAGCTGCCTCTCGCCGCATGCAGGGCCCATCGCCGTCGCCACAACGGTCGCCACAGCTGCCGCCTCCGCAGCTTGTTGCAAGCGTAGCCTCGGAGCACTTCCTGGCCCGTGACTCAGTCGAGCGCGAGACCATCGGCTCGCATCGGGCTTGTATTGTTCTTCAGGTTGCAGAGCTGCCGTCAACTCCGGTTCTTTATCCCAAGGCCCGCCGGTTGGTTACTCGTCAGCTACAGGTTTCAGGTTGCTATGGTGCTCATTGTGCTGCGAGTCCTTTGACCTCCGTCGTGGCAGCCGCTACTCCTGCTTCAGAGTGGCAGCATACCGTCAAGCCCCAGACCGCAGGTCAAGCCCTTTCGGAGACGGGCTATGTAAGTATCTTTCTTGTCCTTCGCCTTGTTCAATTAGAAAAGCTTTTTCTCAAGACACCGAGACTGCGACAAGGCGTCCGGTATGTTTCGGTGGCCCTGGGTACTGTGGAAGGACCGTTGACAAGACCTCCAAACGCAATGATGTTTGCTGATCGTAAACTCCTTGGAGAGCACACAGACGTCTCGTGATGGTACAGAACTTCAGTCAGAACCTCCAGGCATGTTTCGTTGGACCCTTCTTGCCAACGACAGGCCGCCAACGGAGACTCAGAGGGCTCGTCTCCCAGAATGGCTAGTCTGATCGTGCAGATGCTGGCATCGGTGCTGCAGGTGTGCGGAGACACCAGTCCCCGCACGTCGGCTCCCGAGCAGAAGTCACCACCTTGCCAGACTGGGGGGAAGTGTGTGCCAGGCGAAGGCTGTGAATCCGCTGGACCAAGAGGCCGAAGAGCTTGGACTGTCATTCGCGATCACATCTGTCACTTCGGAGCCACAGGAGCTGGATGTGACCCACCGGCGAGGGCCCGCTGCGCCCGCTGCCGCTCACATTGCTCCGCTTGCTCCGGCGCCTGGCGGTGTGCTGAGATTCTCAAGCGCGCATCTACTCGTAGCTCTGGTTTGGCACTGGCTCCAGAAGCCAAGGAGCACAGGCGTGCGTACAGGGCCCATGCATGACTCCGCCTCAGCTGGGGGCCTAGAAGACCTGCAAATGACATAAACATAGACATACACAGCTGAAGCTGGTCACTGTCTGAGGCCCTCTCCATTTCTGGGCCAGCGCTACGTTTCGACGCCGCGGCGGTGCGCTGGACCGATGCAGGCGCAGCTCTCAGCCAGTGGAGCTTCCCTGCCACATGGCTTTGAACACACTGCCAGGGCGGCACGGCAGCAGCGGAGCAGCGTGTTGGAGACGGAGCTCGAGGCATGTCGCATGCTGAGGATCGCCTTCAGTGCCTTCCCGGTGTCCGTACCCGAAATTAACCGTCATGATGGTATGTCGCGCATTTGGGTGAGGTGGGCCCCATCAGCGCAGTGAAGATCGGGCGAAGACATGCCAAGACCCTATCCAAGGAGGGCCCGGAGCCCTCCCCGGGTTCCAACAGATGCCCAAGACCGTGAAAGCTCCACCTCCGGCTACGGCCGCAACCTCAACTTCCATTCCGTCGGCTGAAGTGAAACGAGGAGGCCAGAGCTTCAGGCATCGCACACCCGTGGCATCCCACCCGACTGTGACAACGCAACCCGGGTACTCAACCACTCCGGATGGACAATGACGGAAGGCTTCGCTTCAATAGATCGTCGCTGGACGCGAAGGTATATCCCAACAATGAAGCCACATGGCAAGATCAACCGCTCGTTCCGTGTTGTAGCGCGTGCTGTTTTGGCTTGGGGTACAAAAACGGGTTGAGTCTTGTACTTATGCGAGCATCATACTTTGATCAAGTAGTTGCTGTGCACCGTTGGCTGTGACATCCGGGCAACCTGCAGCCTTTACCTCTCAGGCCTTCAGCCAGTTGTTTAGCTGCGGAAAAGGTGATGGATGGGCGCGCGATTCCTTTGCTGGTTTCTCGTAGCCTCGCATTGCACAGTGGCACCGGAGCGCTGAGTTGATCAAAAGGGCTGTGCTGCGCTTCTCCATCCTCCCGCCGAGCGGCTTCTTCCTCGATTACCCGATTATCAGCTACTTCTCCAGGCGGAGGTGTGGCTTGGTTGTTGTTGGTGATTGAGCTTGGAGCCTGTGTCACCACTTGGTTTTGCAAAGCAGCGATAATGGTTTTGGCGCCTGGGGAAGAGTTCCTGTTTGGGACGGCTCCCCCTTGACCTGGAGGAGTTTCAAGCGAGAGACGTCTTGGATGCTGAGTCCACCAAGAAAGACAACTTGGCGGCCAGATGGCTCCTTCGCCAAAGCGGCACCATGCGCCAACGAGGTGAAGAATTCAGCCCGGATGAGCTTTGTTATCAGAAAGCCGAGGCCGAGGCCTACACTGACCCAGAAACCGGCGAGACCGTTGACATCACTGCTGAAGATCCTTTTGAAGGATTAATCGGCTGTTGGATGCGATAGAGAAAATGAAAGGTCAGTCCACCTTGGACAAGCGCGGGGAACTTCGTTCCCAGTTTTATCTTCACATGTGTCGCAAGGCTGGCGAGCGGGTCGCCGACTACTCCTCTCGTTTCCGGACAAGCATCGCTGATCTGCGAGCCGAGGGGGTTAAAGCTGCCGGACGCCGAGCTGGGCTTGGTGGCACAAGGAGAAACTAGGCCGCGACCCCCTCCGTCACAGAGGTTTATGCCACCATTGAGGCCGAGTCCTTGCGCCTCTTCAGAGATCTTCAGATCTTCTTTTTCAGGGTTCCGGCGCTTGGACCAGCCCACGAATAAGCTGACGATCCGCAGGATGTTTGCTCCGGCTTCTTCGGCGGCCTCCTCTTCTTCAACGACGGCCGGGACTCCCTCGACTCGGCGTTTCTCAGTTTCCACAATGGCATCTTCGGCTGGTCAGCTGGCTAGGCGGCAGTAGGCTAGACAGGTGCATGTTTCCGAGACGACGGCCGGCGACGAGACGGAAGACCTGCCTCAGCCAGCGTTTGAGGATCAGCTCGCCGAGGAGATCGCGGAGGCGGAAGCCGAAGGCGTGGATCCGATGCACTTGGAGGCATTGGAAAGCGGGATCGAGGCCAGTGCCGAGGCCTTGGTTTCGATGAGAGAGGCCAGGGTGAAGGACAGGGGCTTTAAAGGCCCTGGGTCGGGCGAGTCGCGGTCGCGGATCAGCGGCCATTGCGGCCAAGAAGGCCAGTGGCAAGCATGCAGGCCATCCCCGAGAACGAGGTGATCCAGACCGAGGCCGACGATGGTGCGATTCGGGACGTTCTCATGATTAGTGCTGGGCCTGGGCAAGTTCTGCAGCAAGCCTTTGACATGTCTTCGGCCCGCACCCTGGAAGTGAACATTGCGGCCACCCCGTGTGCTGGCTGCTGGTAAAGCTGTGGTTGGTGCGTGCGACCGGACGTGTGCCGGCGAGGTGTGGATCGAGGTGAGCGAGGTCAAGGCCCTGATAAAGACGACCCCCGAGACCGAGCGCTTCCGATTTGGAAATGGGGGGTGCTCCCTTCATGCATGCGCTACCGCGTGCCGATGACGGTGGCAGGTGAGATTATTCTGGTATGGGTGTCGGCCGTGCCGGTGTCTTCCTTGGGCCTCCTTCTTGGCCGTGACTTCCTCGATGCTGTGGCCGGCGTTCTAGACTTTGCCGAGAGGTTTCTAGCGGCTGGTCACTTGGCTTTGCCGTTGATTCCCGAGACCTGGCCTGACCTGAGTTGCCGCGCTGGCGAAAACTTGGTCCCGACACTGTCATTTGTTGGATTGCAAGGCTTGGGCCCCTTCCCGAGCAACGGGCGCAGCGAGCTTTGGAGAGAGCCGTTGGATGTGATGTTGGGAAGGCCGGCTGACTTCCAGGCCGAGCTGACGGACGTGAACACGTCGGCCGAGTTTGCTCAGGGGAGCATAGGGCATAGTCGACAGTCCTCTTTGCACACGAACATGGACTCAGCCGCAGCTGCCAAGTGGCTGCGGTGCTTCTTGTCCAAACAGCCAGGTTGCAGCCCAGATTCAGTTTTGAAGATTTCTAGTCAATGGCTAAAAGCAACCTGCTTGAGTTGGTGTACGACGTACGCCTTCCAGACTCTGACCAGACACTGTTAGGGTACCACAGCAAGGGAAAGAGTGGCAGTGCGCCCAGCTACGGCCCCGACGCGCTCGCGGGTCCACTCCACAGCCTGGAGAAAGTTCTGACAGACGTGCGAGAGTCTCCGCTTTGCCTTGACCAGACGGCGGTGTGAAGGTGTAGACTGTCCCAGACGGCTTCAGGTGAACCCCACCTTGCAAAAACTGACCACTGCTTGCATTCCGAAGAAGGTACCTAATTATCGTTAAATTGTCGATGAAACCTAGAGACTGTCGGACGGCACAATTGCAGTTGTGTGAGTGTTGTTTTGTTTTCGGCTGGTGAGTCCGGCTGGTGAGTCCTTCGACAAAAGCTGAGATTTTAGGCTTTCAGTTTTTATGCGAGATGTGCTGATTCGAACAAGCAGCTTTGTCGTGTCTGCGGCATGTTCGATGTCAGGGAGAGCTGGCAGCATGCCTCCCGTACACTGGGCCTCTCCTGGGCCAGCGTGGCCTTGCGCTGAATCCACCCTGCTGTCACAGTGTCCGGAATGTAGAATCCAGAGTCGAGGCATGTGGAGCCGAATGCTCGTTCTTCCGGAAGGCACGGACGAAGCTCGGCGCCCCCTCAGCAGCCCGGATGCACGGCAAAGCGTGAATGGAGCCGTATACAGGATTTTTGCGGGATATTGACGACGTTGAACAACTGAGGAACGCTCGGAGCGTTTCCGTACAGCCACAGCCTTGCTGGAGACTCCACGTTTTGCCTTAATTGCAAAAGTCATGTTGGTGATGCTTCATGCGAGTTTTTACTATGTGGGAAGGAGCCAAAGGAGCCGCACACCTGGGCGCGCGACGCGATCAATAACGCCCAGACGGGATGCACGACAGACGCAGGCGAGCTTGGACAGGGCAAGCTTGAGAGAGCTTGCCCTGCGTTTGAGTTGCTGTTCAGGCGCAGCCCCAGGCACCTGTCTTCCAGATGTTGCGGGCCAAATTTCCAACCCAAGGCATGTCTCTGGCAGCGGGCAGGTTTCCTGAATCTCCCTGAGGCCACCAACCCGAGCAGCGCCGGCGGTGCCTGCATTACAAGGCAGCCTGAGTCCGATTGACCGTGGCGAGTGGACGACTCGCCCAGCTTCAGGTTGCCCACCACCTTGGCAGCCAATTCCTGAGATGCGAGACGCCACTGTCGGAACATCCCGTTCTAGATTCTCGAGGCCCCTTCCGCACTGGGCGGGTCCCAATGCGTGCAGCACTCGTCGTGGCCGTTGCACAGACGGTGGCAAAGGGTAGGACACGGCAAAGGCCCGGGCCCGGCGGCCCACATGGCCCTGGCCATCCTGGCTGCCCTGGCTGCCCTGGCTTGCTGCCAGCCGCCACAGCCACAGCAGATCACAGCAGACAGCAAGGCAATCTTCACTTCCTGTTGTGAGCTGTCCTTCGCGACTGCCTGAACATTGCTAGCCATTGCTAGTGGTTCGGAGAGCTTGACTTGAGTGCAGCCAATATCTGCCAAGCCGAGCCAGTCCGGCTGTCATGGCCTCGGTTTCTGAATCTGTCGACTATTGTGAGCTCAGGTGCTGCTTGGACCCCAAGTTCAAGGGCCACTGGCAGGCCCGAGGCTCTCACGACTCTGGGAGCCTCGCATGGAATCTTCGACAGGCAACGTGCCGGTGATGGCCCATCCGTCAGTGGTGCAGGGCGTGCGCTGCAGGTGCGAGCCTGAGTCAAGAAGCCTACAGTCCAGTCAGGGCACGGCAGCTGAGGCTGAATCAGGTGGGCGCCATGGCTGGGATTGCCCCAGACTTAAGGCGCTGCAAAGCCTTTCAGCGCCTCCTAAGCATGATCGGAAGCAACCATGTGCCAGGCTGATGCCGCAGCCCAGACCGGTACAGTTGTAGTCGCAGGCTGATTTGAAGCCCGTAATTCGTGCATAATTCCAGAATAGACCTGGACACTCTGAAGTGTGTCCAGCGACGAAGCCTTACACGTAGCCGCAGATGTCGGTGAAGGACTTGCTAAGCGGAAAACCTGCTGGCGCTAGCCGCCCCGTAGCTCCATGGTACTAGTATCGCGTGGTCTTGCTTGTATCAGACAGCTTGCAGCTGCAGTTGGCTCATCGCGTCACCGAAGCTGCCAGATGGCAAGGTTCCAAATCGCATGAGCTTGTTTGCAGAGTTGGTGGAGGAAGGGGAGGATGCAGAAGGGCTGGTGCACGCCGAGGATTTGGGACATGAGGTGACCCTCCAGGATCTAGAAGAGGCTTTAGCAGAGCTCGCAGCACAAAACGAGCAGCTGGAAGTGGACTGCCGCGGTCTGGAGGCCCACTGTCGCGACTTGGAGCGTGCCGGTTGGCCAGTGCCTTGCAAGTTGGCCGACGTCATCCGAGCATCAGAGGAAGAGCCGGCGCAGGCAGCGCAGGGCGAGGCTGAAGCTGAAGCGGCAGCTGTCTCCGAGCACATGTCGATTGTGTTGGCGGCAGAGGCCGCTTTGAAGGCCTCGGAAGCTGGTGGAAGTGCAGTACAGGCAGCAGAACTTGGAAAAGCTTTGGCAAGCGCATCTTCTGGAATGGAGCCGGGAAGATTCCACGAGCTAGCATTGCCGGTAATCAGTCGTGCGATTTCGGCCGTGTTTTGTCATGACGGAGATGCGCCGTCGGCAGCACGAGCTGCAGCCAATGCCGCCGCGACGGCTGGTCTGCAAGCCGATGCTGCCGCAGCAGCCGGATTTGTTGCTGCAGGCAGGGCTGTGCTGACACGCTGTGACACTCACACGCACGGCCCACCCTTAAAGTTTTTGCATGCCAGACGCAGGGATGGTTGCCGGAAAGCACGGGCTGCGAAATGGAAGGGACGTGAAGCACGCAGCCGAGCTTGGCTGGAAGACTGCCATGGAGCTTGCCCAAGCTGGAGGCTGCACTCAAAGTCGTGTGCATGGCGAGCAGTCGTGTTCGCGCCTTCGTCAGGCCTTTCCAACGATGCGGCTACACAAGTTGCGGCGCAGGCGGCAAGCGAGATCGCTTCAGATGCATCCCGCAGCGTTGGCAAGCTCTGTGCCGCTCGGATATAGTAGGTCCAGTAGGTTGTAAATATTGTAGTTGTAGTATTCAAGCGTCCATAATGACCTCTGGTTTCCTTTAGGTCTTGCTTGCCAACGTATTTTATCTTTTCAAGCTGCAGCCTGCCGAGAAAACTCAGTTTCAGGCTTTCGGGAATTGTTCTTCACCTTAGCCCCGTTTAGATCTGTGATTGAACTCCGTCTGCGGACTCTCGCTTGCTCACGATTTGCGCTGTCTTGCGCTGTCAGTCTCACTGTTATGACCTGCGCTGAGCCTCGCTGAGCCGAGGAGCGGGTGGTCGAAGATGCCGCAGAAGCTGCGAAGCGAGCAGCGAAGGCTTCGCCGAGTTTGTCCACGCGCCTCGGTGTGGAGGCCGCTGGCCGAGCAGCCGTGAGCACGGCACCCTGGCCTAAAACCCATTCTCCTTCGGGTAATTGGGGATTCTGCAACTTCAAGCACGACAATTTTGGTTGTTCAGGAATTGTAGGAATCAACTTTGAGGATTCTCGGACAGCGAGTACGATACGTTCGATCTGTCGTTACAGAGCATTCACTATATCTTCGTGAGCTCTTGAGGTTGCATTGCAGGCACCTGCTCTGGATGCCTTGCAGATTGCAAAGCATGTCAGCGGTTCCTCGGCCCCAACTTTCTGTGTCAGAGTGTGAAGAGGCATCAAAAGGCCAGCAGCAGAATCCAGCATATGCCGATCTACTTTCAGGTGCGATCGCCGCAATTGCTCGCGAGGCGATCCCTGGTGCAGAGGAAGAGGTGGTCAAAGAGGTTCACCGTGCCCTGTCGGCATTGAGGCAGCATTTCCAGCGGGCGATGAGAAAAATGTGTGCCTCGCTGCAGGAGCGACTAGCCGTGTCATGGAAGAGGCAATGAGTGTGGTGATCGCCAAGGCATCGCAGAGCAAAGAGGCCTTTTGGAAAGCTTGGGAGCAGCAGCTCGTCTTTCGTGGAAGCAATGTTCTTTCTGAAGGCTGCGGCCTTTCCTCAGGCCGTTCAGTCGCGGACGAACTTGCAGAAGGAACAGCAGAATGATCAAGAGGACAGGGTGAAGGAGTTGATGAAGGCGCGCCGCTCGACGGCAGTGCTTGGGGCCCGGCGAGGGCCAGAGCCGTAAACGGGAACGGGACAACGGAATGCTCTTGAAATCTGCCAAGGTGAGAAGTCTTTTGCAGCTATGGCCGACATGCAGGAGCGTTGTGCGTGCCAGCAGACTGAGACTTGCATGAACTTGCCCGGTTTGGCGAGTGGGAGCACTGCAGCCCGCCGCTCCAAGGAGATGGAGCGCTTGGTACGAGAGCGAGCCGGCGATCAGGAGGAGCTACTGAAGCTGCGTCAGCAGCTCCGCAACCTGGAGCAGCAGCTGCCGGATCCCCAGACGAAAGGCAGCCCATGGCAGCCCTAAGCTGCGTAAGCCTAAGCCATAAGCCGCTAAGCCCCAAGCCCATGCCATGCCGGCTGCCGTGTGAGCTCAGGCAGGAAGCCGAAGCGCGGGTTGGAGCCCAAGTGCTACGGGTGAAAGGCCCAGTGACGGCTAGCACCCCATCCGTGATTCCCAGCAGGAGCAGCTGCGCGAAGGCGACCACATGGACAGTCTGAGTGCCACGACTGGAGACGACACCTCGTCTTTGGCCGACAGCTTGGCGGGGAAACTTGGATAGAGTCGTGAGAATGAAGACTCCCGTTCAAGCTTGCAGAACATGAATCATCCGAGGAGCGTGCGCAGAATGCGAAAGAAGCGGAATGCTCGTGCAGGACATAATTTTCGACAGGCAAAGTGCTTGGACGAAGGGGTAGACGTAACTACAACCGAGGGGGCTTCTCGGCCGAAGTTTGTGCGTTGCCGCTCGTAGCATTGCTCCTCCAGCGCTGGCTGCCTTTGCTGTGTGACATTGTGTCAAAGCTGAGGATGCTGATCCGGAAGAAAGGCTGATCCGGATTCTGGTTGCCAAGTCGCACGCAGCTTGGTCCGCAGTGCTGAGCCAGTTGTAGCATCGTATCCCTTTCGTGAGCTTAGTTTCAATCTCAGGCATCGCCGCGCTGGCGTGACTTGTTCCTCGGGGAGCCATGAGACTTTCACGTGATTTGTCGCTTCGGTCATACCGCTGCGCCCATTTCTCTGCAGGCTCCTCTTTATACTCGAGAAAGCGGGCCACGCGAGCTCAGCACCGTCCACAACGGAAGCGGAAGTAAAGAAGGAGCTGCAGCTTTTGGCCTATCAGGTCAAGGAGAAGTAGCTCGGCTTCTCAGTTGGAGGCCATGTTGACCCCTGAGAAACAAAGCCCTTTGAACCCCCTCTCATAGACAAAACAGGGGTACAGGATGCATGTGCATGTATAATAGATCTCTTCAATCTCTTCGATGTTTTCTCCTGAAGCCAGTTGCCTGAGGCTAGGTTCGCTCGAGGGAGCAACGCCGTCACAAGAGGGCATGCTGGAGACTATGCTGAAGACAGTCGGGAAGGTCACTGATCAGGCAGGGTTGTTTTACTATCTACAGAAGCGAGTATACCTCCCGGTGTCGAGAGTGGGAGACTGTGTGGACCTGCTTGTTTCGGATTTTCAATCCGTTACATTTTGCAGGCATACACGTGTGGATGGTGCTGTCTCGCTGCGTCGCTCTGACCCCGCAAGGCTGTGGACTCCGCCGTTTTGTACGTGACGCAAGATGCGCCGGTACCAGAGGCGTCATCCCGCGATCCAGAGGTGGTCGTCAAGGAGGCTTTTGCACCCGAGCGCGTGGATCCAGCTCCAGCCTCAGCTGCTACAGGGAAAGTGCGATGTCGCACGGCATCAAACCGCTGCGAGTCCAGCTTAAGTTGCAGCCTTCCATCGGTGCTCTCGGTGCTCTTTTTCTTCACCTTACGAGTAGTGCAATGGCGTTGCCGAGGCGCAGGCCGGTGCCGACGCGTTCAAGCAGAATGCTCGGCTTCGGCTGGCAGCGCGCCGGAACCGTCAAAGGGGCAGCGTGTTGAGTTGCCTGCTTGCCAGTATGACCCTGTTGTGATCTGCTGTGCATGTGGTGCGTTGCTTTCATGACCTCCGAGAAGTGAGGTGTTGCTGCTTCCGTCTCCTCCAAGCCAGGCTGAAAAAAAAGGCCGAAGGCCGAATTCTGAGCCCGAGCCGCCGGAGCCACCCGAGCCGCCCTAGCGAGCCGAGTGGAGCCCCGAGTCCTGGCGGGCGAAGCTCTCGGTCCGGCGCGGCGTCGCAGCAGCAGCGGCTAGGCGGCAGCACGAGCCGCACTTCCAAGCGGCCGCCGGCGGAGCCTCGACAGGCAGAAGCGGAGAGCAGGTGGAGAGCAGATACGGAGGCGGCGGAGGCGGAGATTCGGAGATATTCACGAGACTATGGAGGTGCGCGAGCTTCGCTTCGGGGCAAGTGCCACCACGGGCCACGATGTGCAGTGAAGACAGCGGAATGACGACATGCGACACACCAAGAGTCCTGCACAGCCAGGGCAGACAGAGCTTTGAACACCTGAACCTGGATCTCCTGTGAGAGGGAAACAAACTCTGTCACGGCAGTGCCAAACCGGTGCAAGGCTTGCTTCGAGCTGTCAGCATTGATGAACGCCTTTGCCGGGATTGCTCAAGAGGGGGAATGAGGTCACAAATACATGAGCAGTGTCCCTGTAGGGAGCAGAACAGCACTTCTAGTAGGACGGCGCGGTTTGCAGGAATTGCTCAGTGCGATTTTGCTTTAGTAGACATGCTGGCAGGAAAGGTTGTCGCTTAGCATGCCCGGAGCCGGATGACCGCAGTATCAGCACTGCCAAGCAGTTGCTACTGGCCGTCTCGTTCGCATGCCGTCCAGAGATGACAACTATGCTGCTTGGGTTGATTTGTGTTGACTCACCCCTGTTGCTTTGGCGGGTGGCGGAGACATCATGTCCTGCATGAGCCCGGCCGCAGAGGACTTCATCAAGATCATTGGCAAGGGCGCGTTTGGAATCGTGGAATTGTGGCAGCAGCGCTTCAACGATGAGAAGCGACTCAGCCGAATTTGTGATGTCCATGTATGCACAGGCCCCATTCTGAACATCCCATTGTGGATGATGTCACATGGCGACATGGGACGTATAGTGGTTCGGTCGAGGCTTGTTGCTGCCAAACGAAGCTTGGCTACATTTCGTAAGAACGTAGCCGTTGCACAGCGCTGCCATCTTCTCCTGCTCTTGTCAGGTGTCCACGTCGGTGAAATGACTGCAGAAGAAGTTGAGCGAACCAGACGCTCCCAGCGCAAGCTGTGTCAGCGTGTGTGATTTGGAGACCGTGTTCCAGTTGCTACCGACTCAAACTTGATGCGACTGGTGCGTACAGCCGGGAATTCTCAGGACAAGAAGCTCTGGTTCTGAAGTCCCTCCAACATCCTCACGTAGCAACTTGGCTCGCGCTTTGCATTGAAGAGAACGTCTTTGCAAGCAGCTGCCGCAAGTTAGGTGAAATACCTGGGCAGCTGGGTAAGTCGGCAAAAGGAGGCACAGTCGTTCCGTCGCAATTGTGGGCGACAGAATAGTACTGGTCCTTCTGCGTGGAACAGGACCTGATCATCATTCAGGAATATTGCGAAGGCGGAGACTTGGCGCACTTCATATATTTCAAGAAGAAGAGCGCCGAGCACATCTCCGAAGAGCTTGTGCTGCAGTGGCAACTTAGCTTCACCAATACGGACACTTTCCGGCCACAAGTGTCGGAGTCGGAAACGCCTCCTCGTGTAAGTCTGAGGTTGGCGCAGCTGACGCATGCTTTGCAGTATTGCCACAAAAAGGCACGCATCCTCCACCGACTCTCTGCTGCACTGCTGCTACACGGGGGCTTGTTAAGCGTACCGCTGGGACAGGCGTGCAAGGCACGGCATGCAGGGCGGTATCTGTGAGCATGTTGAAGGAGACTTCAAGCCTTCCAACATCTTCCTGTCAGAGGCCACTTGGCGACATGCCTGATGCCTTCACTCGCTCGTAGCTTCATGAGGTTCATGATGCTCATGACGTCTCGCAGGACTTGCAGTCTGTGCGGCTCGGCGACTTTGGGATTGCAAAGAACCTGCGGTCCACTGCCAGCCTCTGCCAGACGGTTGTTGGTACGCAGGCACAGCGAAAGACTTCCCAGGGGTAGAGCTTTAATACGCTTGAGCGGTATTCCGAGCAAAGAGGAAGGGCAGCGAGAAAGTGCACCACTGCGAAGGCGTACATGAGTCCAGAGCTCACGAGAATGCAAAAGTACGGGCCAAAGACCGAAGTGTGGAGTTTGGGAGCCACGCTCTACGAGATGCGACTTGGCGCAAGCGGCTTGATTTGGTGAGCAGGCTTGGAAATCCTGAGCAAAGATACTGAGGTGCACGCACAAAAAGCTTTATGACAGCCCTGACATCCTAGAACTCGTGGAGACACCTGGCTTTGTCGAAACCTGTGTGGTTCCGACATTCTTCATCCTGCAGCACCTGTATTCATGCACGACGCGACAGCTAAGGAAAATCTCAAGCTCTTCTGAGGCTCCGCGATTATCGCCCGACTTGGGCAGCATGTCAGCACAGTCAGCACATAGTTTTGGGCTAGAACATGGGCAGAGGGTGCAAAAGGTCCAGCTGATTCAGTTCAAACGTCCTGCTCTTTACAGGTTATTCTACGGAGCTTCAAGAGATATGTGCAGCGATGTTGGTGAAAGACCCTGTGGCACGGCCGACACTGAGCGACATGTTGACGAACCACGCCCTTCTGCGCGTCACTGTGCTCCAGCTCGAGCGGAACATGGACTGGGGCGAATCGCTTGTCCCCGGAGAAGACCCAAAGCTGGAAGTGTCTTTGGAGGCACAGGACAAGCTCCAGGCACTCTTCAAGAAACACAGCAAGGATGGCCTCCTGAGCAAAACAGAGCTTGCCAGCCTGTTGCACAAGTTTGAGCCCGAGTCTTTCTGGAATTGTGGTGCCCGTAACACAGTTTGCGCTGCATCCAGCAGGTTAGCTGTGTTCGGGCTACACGGTGAGTTGACACCTCTCTAGCGCCCCCTAGGGACCACTCCGAAAACAATGGCGAGATGTTGGACGTTTGCCGGCACTGCCGGCACACAGTGCCCCAAATGAACCGGTGTTGAATGTAAGCGGTGGATGCATGTGCAAAGCCTGTTTGAGTCCGAAAGCACGGGAGATCGAAGCCCGGTCAAGTGAGTCTTAGCCAACAGGGCTCCACTGTCTCTAGGCTCCCGGCCAGGCGAGTGAGCAGACGCGCTAAGCCTGAACGTGGCACAGTTATCCTGCATACTCCGTTCTGTGCCGCCAAGGTTACATCCCAAGTGGGACTCGGGCGTAGCGCGGATCCTACTCAAGGCAGCAGACGAGGATGGGGACGAGAACTTGGATTGCGAAGAGTTCCTGAGCTGGCTTCTGGCGGGAAACAGTGAGTGGAACCCCATCAAGCAGGCGATGATGCTGTCAGTCGACGAGGAGGACCCCGAACCACGCGTGGATCGGAGCAAGACCGAGAAAGCCTCGGAAGAAGCTCCGCCAGAAGGTGAAAGTTTTGCAGCACTAGCGGCCAATGCACGGCAACGGCTACTGAAGCCCACAGCGGACAAAACTTCGCTGTCGTTGAAGGAAGCCGCAGCCATGAAAGATTTGGTGGAGCTTGCACGCCAACACAAGGAGCTCACTGATTTGTTGCAACAGTTCCCTTTGGACTTAGAAGCGGAGGCTATGTCAACCGTTGCCTTTGCAAAATGGTCGGTCAGTCGCTTGAAGGAATACTTGACGTCACATGGTGGCAAGTTGGATGGAGCTGTCGAAAAGCAAGAACTGGTGGAGCGTTGTCAGAAGCTGCATCTTGAACAGAACGGCAGTGCAGCAGGTGTGGACGAGGCAGACTTAGCATACGCAGAACGTATTGATGCTCGCCTCAGGTGCTTACGACTCTTGCAGGATCAGACCGATCCCGATCCGATCCAGCTTGCCATCGCACTCCGACAAGCACAACGCCTGCTGGTTGAAGAGCCCTGCGTCACGGCAATCCTCAGCCATTCGCAACGTCTCGGAATGAGAGCAGAGGATAAGCTCAAAACAGCGAAGACTGTCCCAGAGATGGAACAGGCTCTGGAGATCATGGAGGCAGTGAAAGACGTGAAGCTGCCGGATGGGCACACCAACTGCGTCTCTTCGATGAAGCTGGACGAAGCCAACTTCCGTCTACGGGGAGTCAGGAGCCACGGGGCTTTTCACATGTCCGGATCCTGCGCCTCATGACATGAGATGAATCAAGGCCTTTTAAGTGCCTGCTTGAATCAAGGAAAGGCCTTGTTTCAGATGACTTTGTAAGGGAGGGGCGCCCCCGTTCTGTAGCAGAGTTACCTCGGTTAAAGACTTTGTGCAATCACGTTCAGGAACAAAGAGGAGAAGATTGGAGTCCGGTCGCATTGCGGACCATTTGTCAAGACAAGCTCGCTGAAGGGGGACTCCACACTGCAGCAAGCGAAGCTCCAGCTCGCGCAGGTCTGGTGTCGGCCGGTAGAAGCTCTGGACTTCTTCGCAGCAGATGGTTCGCCACTCGACACCGAGGAGAGGTGGGAAGATCTCGTTCGAGGAAGTGACTCCATCGAAGTCAATTTGTTGTTGGACAGAGGTAGGCTTTTAGGTCGCAAGGGAAGCAAGGCTGGGGCGAAGCCCAAAGCCAAACTGGCGCCCAAAAGATCTCTTGCGGGCCTCGCAGCATCCAGTAGCCCCTGGCGAACCTGAGCTTCCTTGATGCTGTGGACCTAGCCTGACATCGACATACGGTTTAGTGTCTCTGCTTGCGACCAGATGTTCCGTTCGAAACCAGGGGCGCCAGATGTTTCATCAACTGCGGCCTCCGCAAGATGTTAATGAATTGCCGCAGAAGGATCCCGTCTTCAAAGTAAGGCTGGCATTGGCTGTAGTGCAAAACTGCTGCATTCTGCATTCAGCTCGCCGTGCGGTATCGAAAGCCTCGTACGAAGTCTTACAACCATGCGACGGTTCCTAACCCCTGAAGCTGGGCTCAACGCCATACATCAGCCGAGCATCTGCCGCCCCGGCATTGGTACAGTACATCGCACATACCCTCCTATGTATTTGTGTCATTCT